GTTTAAGATTTATCTAAACAAATACCTCAAAATAAGGTCAAAATAACCAAAACAATGCATGTTCAACTGTAGGGATCGACATTTCATGGGTGAAAGGTCAATCCTTTTTGAAATAGAACTCTCCTTGTGTGTTCTGATGGCTAGAGATTGACCCTTTGGTCTTTAGGGATAGATCCTTGCACTTCTACAACTCAAATTTAGCCATAAAACCTTTCGATTTCACCTTTCTTAGGCCAATGTTAATCTTCATTTCCAAAACTTTAGAATTTAAAGTTCTAAGAATCCAAATTGCATCTTCACAAGAATAAAATCATATTCATTTATGATCAACTCAAGAATCCAAATTTCCAATAGCTCAAATACAAGACAACTTGGCCAAACCACAATACTTACATTGCTATTCACATAATTCCAACCATAACGAATTTCCAAACATATAAGGTAAGTAACCAAACATAACAAGCATGTAAATCAAATATGGTGAGTATACAAGACATATGAATCAAACATATTAAGTAAGTAATCCAAATGTGCTAAGGCACCCAACCAAACATGCTAAGGCATGTAAACCAAATACGCTAAGGCCTATATTTCCAAATATGCTAAAGGGCATATAACCCACATGAATAGTGATAACTTTATTTCATAGAGTATGAAATTGGCTAAGTTCTTGAGATTTAGGTTTAGAATTAGGTGTTTTTAGTTGTTTTTCTTAGCTTAGCTTAAATCATGATGAGTTGTTTCAATTTAAGTTGTTTTATTTTATTTTTATGTTAAATTGATTTTAGTTTAGTTTAGTATTGATTTTGTTTTATACTTTTGTAGGTGAGCAATTAAAACGGCTTTCATTGGTAAAGAAGAGTGCATAAAAGGTCCATGCTTATCCTGCACATGTTCTAGTATTTTGAATATAATTTATGTGATTCTTGAGTTATTAGAAAGCTAAAAGATAGGGTCACAACTTTTATGTTTATCACTTTATCCAGTTCGGCCTAGATCAAGAAGAAAATTACATTACAATTTGATTAAGTATAGCATAGTGTATTGGGAGATAGGAAGTGTGGCACCGCAACGCCAAAGAATTGAGCTTGCAGTGCCTAAAAACAAGAAAGTTGGACACCACAGCGCCAGAAAAGTGGGTTTGTGGCATTGACATGATATCTAAGACTCTCTGATTTCGGATTTGACTTAAATTAGGTTTTTTTTGAGTTTATTTAAAGGCACTTTTAAAGCTATTGAACAGAACAATTAAGCTAGGGTTTCCCTGAAGAAAAATAGCCATCAAGCACTCAAGAAAGCAAAGAAAAAATTGAAAGATTGAAGATAAAAAATATGAAAATCTTTAGTTTTTTTTATCTCTGTTTCCTTTATGTTTTTCTTGAATTGTTACTATGGTTAAATTTCTTTGGATTTTGTTTTTATTATTCATCATGAACTAAATCTCTGATTTAGAATTGCAATTGAACTCAATATGTTGTTTGAATTTTTATTTCTTTCTTGCTTATGATCAATGGAATACGAGTTGTTTATTCCAAACTTGTATTTAATGCCTTTGATTAACTAACATTAATTAGATTGATCTAGATACCTAAATATAACTTGACAAAAGGAGTTTAGTATAGGCCTTGGATGGAATAACATATGTTCAAATTTATTTAGGCTAACTACCATCGAATGATTTGATTTACATATAAGATAGACATATACCTATATGTTATATGTAGCCAAGATTAGAGCATGAGCTTAATGAGTCTTTCTTCAATTCAATTTACATAGACATGTAATTAATTGGTTGGATAAGATATTTTTATAAGAATCTCAATAGAGATTTATAAATAATTTGAAAACTTTAGGTTAGTAATTCAATCTATTTAGTAAGTTAAGAGAGAGAAAGAGAGAGAGAAAATTTAGATGAATTGTTAAGGGATATTGTAATCCTAGGCTTGTTTATTGATCGACTTTTTTTAGTTAACATTTTCCATTTGGTTGTGGATTCAATTTGGTTATTATTTAGTTTTAGTTTTGCTTTTAATTAATTACTTAATTCGGCTGTTTGAATAAGACTAAATTATGTTAATTTTAGTATTTAAAAAAAGTCGGTACAATTATCTGTGGGAACAATACTCTACTTTCATTATATTACTTGTTAACGATATGTGCACTAGGGTGGTAAATCTGAAAACAAATAGTTATAGAGATTAATCAAACATTTCATGAATCTCATTTAGTACTATTAATTCTAAACATTTAATACCACTATCAAACATTACAAAAGAGTATGATTCAAATACTTTTTAGTAAAGCACGTATTAAATCATGCTTCACACTTTTGAGATGAAGTTTTCAAACAAATAAAAGTTTGTTCCCCATTTGGAAACAAATATATAATATTCATATTTACATGCATATAGGTCGCAAATCAAGATTTCCAAAACAATTTGGCATCTTTAACATATCAAATTGTTTCACTCACACAATCACCATGAATTTCCAAAAGTATTTAAACATGCTTAGTATTATATCAAAAGAGTTTTTAAAACAACGTGTCTACTCACAACTCAAGAGCACTCCTTTTTGAGCTCTTTCAACCAATCACTTTGCTATAAAGGGTTTGAGTCCATTAATGTTCCCATCAATTTTAAAAAATTTCATAGTACAATAAATACCCAATGCAAACCTTAGTTCATTTTTGCTTAAATCTAAAGCTATTCACCAACTCTTCTTCCAAAAATCATATTTATTAAATAATCAACTTAACTTATACCTTGCCTTACCTTGGTGAGCCTTTACACAAGGAATCTAGGAAAACTTAGAAACCTAGATAGAGAAAATGTGGCTTGAAGAAAGAGAAAGTTAGAAACTTGAAACCCAAGTCTAGGGGAGATTTACAAGTTAGAAATCCTTATCTTTTACTCTTAAAGATCAACATTTGATGATGGAGTTTAAAGGTCTTGAGAGGTGAAGAATTTGAGAGAAAATGGAAGGTAAAATGAAGAAAAGATAAAGAGTGAAAAGTGGCTCAGGGGGTTCAAGGCTTTTATTTTTTTATTAAAATGCTTAGGGATTGACCATTCAAACATTAGGGGTAGATCCCCACAAGTTAGAACACTATTTCTTATGTTTTGGGACTTAAGGATTGACCCTTTAAAGGGCAAGGGTTAATTCCACCATCCAGAATGTAATTTGCTAAATTTTGCTCTTAAGGATTGACCCTCCATACATAGGGATTGACTCTCTTAGCTCAAACTTGAAAAAATCGATCCTTTTAAACCTTAAATGAAACTTGCTTCTTCCACCATCCTTCAAGTCTTTAGTTGATGGGTTCTCAAGGGTAGAAAATCATGGAATTTAAGTTAACGAAAGTATTTCCTAAGCTCACCAAACTAATTATCTAATTTTCTCAAGTAATCAAAGTTAGGGGTTTCATTTATTTATTTCCTCACCCTCCAT